AGAGAAAGTTACCGTGGCGTCGCTGCTCCAGTCTCTTCCAGGTATCTTCAGGACCAACTAGGAAATGGTGTAGTTGGGTAGCAGGGAGGGGTGCAAAGTTCCTGCCAATTCGCCTTCACTGCAGACAACTTACATGTGCAAAGTTTGCTGGCTGGGTGTTTTGGCATGCTCAGCAGCAATTCCTATTGGCTTTTGAAAGCCAATAGGGGGAGTAGCACAGCTCATGCAAAAATTGAAAAAAAAACATCAAAAAAGGTGCCAAAATGCCATTCTGAGCGTTCTATGAGGGAAAAAAAGCCCTGCAGATTAGTCTTCAAATATCGAAAAGGAGGACATGTAAGAGGACACTTTTCGAGGGAGGATAGAACTCACAAAAGGAGGACTGTCCTCCCTAAAGGAGGATGGTTGGTCACCTTGGGTCTAGAGAACAGACTTTGGATTGCCTACAAAATGGCTGGTGTTAGGAGGGGTGGAAGGCTGGTCAATTCCTAAAATGGCTACCTTGGCATATTATGACTCATTTCTTGAAAGGCAGTTGGACGAGACTGAGAAAAAGAATAGCTTGCAGTTCCTTTGCAACTGTGGAGCATTCTATGTTTCTGAACCCCCCAATACTCTGATATTTATTTCCCCAGAGAACAATTGCTAAAGTCAGCAATAAATAATTTGGCCAAGAAAGTGAGCAAATGGGAGGGGGAGGAGTAATAATGCTCAATAATATATTCCTCCCTCGTTCCAGTGCAAATAATATTCTCCACTGAATACACACTTTTAATGCTAAAGAACACCCAACCCAAATCCCTAATGAAAAGGACATAAAGAGATAGAACAGAAAGATAACAAAATGGATTTTTTTGTTCTTGGGTGTTTTCTGTCACTGTTAGCTCAACTTGGAAGAACCGAGGTGGTGCAGCAGTTAGAGTGCAGTACTGCAGGCCACTTTAGCTGACTGTGTTCAGCAGGTCAGCGGTTCAAATCTCACCGGCTCAAGGTTGACTCAGCCTTCCATCCTTCCGGGGTAGGTAAAATGAGGACCCAGATTGTTGGGGGCAATGTAAATATATATACATTGCTTACTGGTGTACACCGCTTAGAGAGTGCTTGCACTTAAAGCGGTATATAAGTCTCATAAATAAATAAACAAATAAATAAACAAACAAATAAATAAATAAATTCTACCCATACCATCAGCCAGATGTGCAGCAGGCATAAAATGCCTAAAGCAATATGGGCTTTATTGTTTCTTTTACTTTTTACCTAATGTAGAATAGAATGCAGAAGTTTTGTGCCTTAGCAACTAAATGACTGTAAATTTCTAAGTGCAAGATAAGAACTTTCTGAGGCTGAAGTAACAAAGGATTATGCAGTTATATGTACTAACTGTTTCAATTGAAGGCAACTGTATCTTTTTACAAGGGACTCTATAGGACCCTTGAAGTCTTTTTCCATGCTAACCTTTTTTTTTCTACTTCTAATACAATGCTCGTAAACAGCCTGGATTTATCAAAGATTCCATATATAGTTTACATGTGCATATTTGTTAGCATAAGAGTTTTGGTTACTTTGTCTTCAGGGTCCTTCACTCAGCCTGTTTGCTGGGAAGGCACCATGTTTGATCAAATGTTTTTGTTTTGCAATTGCAAAATAAAATACTGGTTTTCCTACTATTGTCTGCTTAATTGGGACAGTTACTGGACCCTGAACTAATATTTGGAAACAGTACATTATTAGATAAATTCATATATATATGGAAAATAAAAACTAATAGAAACTAATAGAAAGTAAGAAAAAGAAATTGAAGAAAAAGCTAAAAGTACAAAAAAGAAAGAAAAAGAAAAAAAGAAGTAGCTTTCAAACTTCTTTACAGAAGCTATAAATACAATTATCAATTTCTATTGATATATTGTGTGTGTCTGGAAAATAGGGTAATTCAGTAATCAAATCAAATTAAAGGATTGTATGTATGTAGCCAAGCCAATAAATCAGTCTGAGAGCACCTTACAGGAATCCCAGGAGCAAATTACCAGTACTAATTGCCTTTTAGATTTACATATTGTAATTAGTTCAGGGTTGACAATTGGGTTAATTGAATAAGTCTTGATTTAGTTAAGTTTAGGAAAGCAGCATGATGTGTGAGCAGAGCCACAAAATGGCTTGATAGGGCTGTCAAGTGCCCTAAAGAGCTTGGTGGCTTAGATCCTAATTTTCTACTGGAGTAGCTATTTCATCTGAAGTGCTGCTTCTGTGCACCTAACTCTGAATATGTGATTGCTTCAGTTACTTATTGGCTGAGGAATTCTGGGAGTTGAAGTCCACAAGTCATAAGAGGGCCAAGTTTGAAGACCCCTGACATAGGGGCTTCAGACCAACCTTCTCCCCTCAGTGGTTGCTCTCATTCCCCAATTATCTACCATCTGAGCTGGTTAGTTGCTCTGCCAAATATAAGGCTAACCCTGAACCAGTTGGTAGGGACCAACAACAAAAGAGTTTTTTATGTCTTGCTCCTGGCCTCTTGGAGGCATCTTGTGAAATTCAATCAGAACTGAAGAAGCTTCTTGGATGAGAAGCAAAATGTTTTCAAGGAAAAAAACAGTTACCTTTTGGAAAAACACATTTGGGACCTGATGATTAGAATCTTCATAGACAACTGCCAAGCCAAGTCTTTTTCATCCTATATTATCTTCATTTCAACTCGTAGTTCAAACTTATGTAGTTCTGTTTGAATCTTCTGTCTTTCTCATTTAAAGTATTAGCTACCCTGCCTACTTTGGATTGTCTGCAAAATTATTCCACAACAATTGTTGGATTTGTCCTATAGAGATAGATATTACTGTTGGGATAGTATCAATAATAAACAGTACTTATAAAGTTACAAGCTAGCATAATGTAATGAGTTTTCATTTAATTTTATTTATGGTCAAACCTCGACTAGCAAAGTGCAGATATAATCTAAAAGTTGGCATTAGATAAAACAGTTTAATATATAAATTAATTGGTAAATATTACATAAAACATTTTAAACTCTCTTATTGATGTGTTACTAGAAACCTTCTTTTTATTGCCATAGTGAAAATTTGGCCGTTGCTGTTATAATTTTAGGATTCTTATGTGTGAATAAAACTTAACATATCCAGAAATGTCTGTCCTTGGTCTTGATTTTAAAGTAGATTGGATAACATCCTGCTGAAAATTCATAGTACAATAAAATACGATCTACTTTGATTCATCTCTGAGTAACCACATAGGCAGATTTTCTCCATGATGATCCATCCCTGGTTCTTCAGGTCTTCCAAAGTGGACCTAGCATAAATGTAACTGAGTCCACCCACCTTGCTCCTGGTTGTCCTCTTCTCTTTCCTTTCACTTTTCTCAGCATTAAAGCCTTCTCCAGAGAGTTAGGACTTTGCATAATGTATTCAGAATACAGAACTCTGCATAATGTATTTAGAATAAATAACTTTACATAATGTATTCAGAATAGGATAATTTGAGCCTGATCATTTCGCAGTGAGAAATCTGAGCTAATGTGTTCAATATTCCATATGTGGTGGGTTGTTGCTGGTTTTTTTTTTTTTTTTTTTGGCTATCCATGGGAATTCTCAGGAGTCTTTTCCAACACCTAAGTTTAAAAGCACCTATATAATTAAGGACAGGAAATCAAACCTTCCCTAACATTCAATCTTCCCTTGTTCCTTAGTCCCAACCTCACGGCCATTTCCAGAGCAAAAAGATGAAAAATTAAAAACAAAAGCTAACAAACTTGACAAAGAAGTTGAAATTGGCCAAAGGGGGCAGATCATCCATATAAACCAGAGGTTCTCAACCTATGGGTCGTGACCCCATTTGGGGTCGATCGACCATTACATGGGGGTCGCCAAGCAAGGCTGTCCGCCATTTTTTCCCCTTTTCCGGCAGGTGCCTTACCTCCTTTGGGCTGGGCCAGCTGGTGGCCCAGCCGGTGGTCGGCCTGCTCCGTCTCTGCCACTTGCCAGCTATGCCTCGGCCGGCGCAGGGGGCGGCACCACGCATGTGCGGCGCTCCCGGGCAGGGAAAGTCCTCGACTTACGACCGGTTGGGTAGTCCTCAACTTACGATCGGTTTAGTCCTCAATTTATGACCGGTTTAATCCTCGACTTATGACCGGTTGGGGGTCGCAGCATTAAAAAGGTTGAGAACCACTGATATAAACAATTCTTTCATGAGGGCAATGAGATATCCTGGGATTCCCATTTTTCTCAGCACATTCCCCAGCTTTATATGATTGACATAATCAAAGACTTTTCTATAATTAATAAAGCACATAATGACTTCTTTTTCATGTACTTTGGCTTTCTCAATTATCCAGTGTACACCAGAAATAAAGTCTCATGTTCCTCAGCTTTTCTTAAAGCCAACTTGAAAAACACACATACACTCACACATTTCAGGAACAAAATCTGAGGATCTTTTGAAATATACCCTATAGCATATTTGATGGCAACACATTTAATCTAGCTTTTGAAAAGGCTGTTCTGTATCTAATTAAATATAAACATATGGAGCTGAAAAGTATATTTGCAATGTATTCAAAAAATCACACAGTAAACACAGATGTTTAGCCTTTGCCATTCAGTACTGAGTTATCCCTCAGTCTTTTTATAATACAATAAAATGATGATGTCATAACCCCCAAAACAAATAATCAGGATCAATGCCAATCTGATTAATCTTTTGGTCCACCTGTTTAAACCATGTATCTGCATCTATTTCTCATAGCAATCTTTCCTTGTTTTCAAAAACGTAAATTTGTGACCAAAACTTAATAATACTCAGCCAAGTGTTTGTTCAAAGGACATTGTGTAATTTCCAGGGAAACACAAAGTTTGGAACATTACTTGGAACTTTTAAAGGAGATATTAAAACTTCTTTTGCAATTGGGCTGTTACTTTCGACAGCTGTGACAACTCAGTACTTTACTGTGGTTGGCATCCAGTTATTAAATAATTTTAAACAAACAGAACTTTGCACGTATCAAATCACTATTTTATTGTCATCTTGCCAGAACTGTAACATATCAAATTCCATGCAGAAGGCTTGGCTATCATCTGATAAATACAGACTTGATTCTCGGTTCTTTATTATAGGTAATAATTCAGTATCTACTGAAGATGGCCACAATTAGCTCATTATCTCTTGGTTTGTAGCTACCAACACCTGCCAACATAAAAAAAAATGATGTTGAAAAGTAGGTCATATTCTCTAGATTAGATATATTATAAGGTTTAACATGTATAGATTTGAAAACTAGTTTTAAATTAGATATATGCAGATACTCAGCTGCCTTGTATACATGGCCACAGCCAATCATGATGATCAAAATAGTATCTATACAATAATATCACAATACAACCCCACCTTTTCATAGTTTCGTCCTAATACTAGATGCAAATTCATAAGTTGTAGGATTTGAGTTATGAAGGACACTTTTTCATTTGCCCTGCTCCACCCCCAGCCCCCCAGATGCCTAAATGCAGCTGCCATGTAAACCCCCTAAAAAGATGTAGCTGCTTTAAAGAGTAAAAAACTACATTCACGCTGTTAAGTGAACTGAAGCATCTTTTTAGAATCAAATCCAAAGCACTGCATATTCCTATCCACTATACCAGGCCTGTCCAGCACACAGCCCATGAGTCACATGCAGCCTTGGATGGCTAGTCATGAAACCCCACAGGATAATAAAAAACATAAAAATAAAGGAAACCTGTTATTTATATACATTAACTATATTACATGCATTATGTGTGGTTCAAGACAATTCCTCTTCATTCAGTGCGACACAGGCAAGTCTAAAGATTGGACAACTATGTTCTGTAATATATATGTGTCAGCTTTATGCACATCTATAACTGAACATCACTGGATAATGTTAGGCAACCGTTCATTAGAAGACCAGTTAGTCTTCTCAATCTTCAAGGTTCTGTCCCTTTGTTGCCACTGAATCATCACTTTGCTATTGTACCCCCAACCTCTAGTTCGACTCGATCCTTTGCTCAGTCTTTTTCTGGGACAACATTTCAGCCCTAACTTCATTTGATTGATGTCCTTGCTAATGCAGCTGTCTTCCTAGACTGGGTGATGAACTGATTTACAACCTTGATTTTTCTTGAGTTGCATATCAGTCCCCTTGGTAAATAGGTAAAATCTGTATGTTGTGTTTCCTCTGTACACCTTGCCCTTTGGGAACTGTGCATTTAAATAGGCTCTCAACTATTTGCAGCACTCTGCAAATCTTGTCTGGGATCAAAAGCTAAGCCGGATCAAAGCTGATTAGTCTCTAGACAGGATATTTCTAGCTCATGCAAGCACTGTGGGGTAGACTGGGAAATTGAAAGCTTATTCCAGGAGAAGGCAAAGACACATAATTTCAGTGTTGTACTGAGAAAACTACCTAGATATAACTAAGAAATCATGAGTTGAGCTCAACTTGAAGACTTTGCTGTCTGAACAGGCATCAACCTAGTATTTTAGTCATGTTGATTATTATTGTCCTATAGCTGCACATTCACTAACAAGTTAATCTTAATTAATATGGAAGATAACGGATGCAGGTATTCGGAGGACTATATTGTATCTTTCAGGACTTTCTTTCTTCACAAGAAAATATACCTTGTTCAAGGGGTGTTTTGCCACTGAGGAACTGCCAGTAGGTCTTTTCATTGGTGTTACCTTGGAGGCCACTGATAGAGGTGACCATGGGGCCCCAAGATGTCTCCTCTGTTTGAAAGCTGCAAGATGCCAAATTCATTACAAAAACAGGAAGAAGGAAGGATGAATAGAAAAATGGTGAATTATATCATAGTAATTTATGGGAAGATAATATGTACACAAGGAAAATTGAAAGCAAGTAAATTTCAAAAATTAATAAATAGAATAAGAAAAATTGAATGAAAAAAGATCAGGCACATTATAGGTGAAAATATTCATAGAAATCAAATATTCAAATTTATCCAATGTGCCACCTTAAAATCAAATAGAGTTTAAAACACATTGGTAAAGATTTGAGGTTTCTTGAACTGAATATTTGAAAAGTTTATGTAGATCACATCCTGGGTTGAATATCATCCCTAAAAGGTCAAAGACAGAATCTAGAATGAATCTGCCAGGAGTCTATTTACCTGAATTCCTTTGCATTAAATTGTCGAGCTGCTTCCAAGACAGCGAGCAGCACCGAACCCTTTGGCACTTTCACAGTTGTGGAATATTTGAAATAAGGTTTTTTCAGCTTGTTGATTACCTTATAATGTACTGTTACTGCAAAGAAAAAGAAGAGAAGGCAGGTGAACTAACTCATTACACTCTTAGTATCTAATGCCAATCTTGGGCTTGCATAGCTGAGACAAGGATAGCCAATGAGATGAGATGAGACTTGGAAGGAAAAATTGGCATCCATTTGAAGATGCTTAAAATGTTACTACTGCTAGTGGCTACAGTTGATTTTCAATCCATCCATAACAGTGAGTTAAATGGATCTTTCCAAAATAGGCAATCCTCAGCCCCACAACACCTTTCCTTTTTCATTTCATTTCATTTCATTCATTTCCTTTTTTTTTGTTGAGTCCAGAATTAAGCGAAAGTTAGAATCAAGCTATGTAAAAGTAGCATAAAATTGGTAGCATAGCTTTGTGGAGCATTATATGATTGTTTCCAATGTTATTAGACACTAAATGGCATGACTGTGTTCACCTGTTTTTATCTCCAGCCTCCACCATTTCCTTTCTTTCAGAATAATTCCACTGTCTCCAAGATAATCAATAGTAGCAAAACTGTACCTGTTCCTGATGTGGAAATGTAGTGATGGGGAATGTAGACCTATAATGCAGACTTCATTAAGCTGTGACTATAGCTCACTAGCCAAATCTGCTGTTTCCTGTCCTTCAGAGAACAAGGGAGATGCCAGAGGAGTTTCTTTTCAGTAGCTGCCTTACCAGTTTCAGAGGTGCAAGTGAGACTGCTCACATCCAGATAGGTTTTCCCCACCAGAGAAGGCAGGATCTGAGAAGCAGCAGCTGGAGTGCTAAAGGCTCCCTCAGGGATCTTACTCAGCACTTCATTCAGGGTCTTGGGGCAGTTCCATGCGTTATCAGAGTAGAACTCAGAAGTAACACTGAGAGCCTGGAAATCAGCAAGAAAGAGAGAGATGCTGTAAGATTTGAAGGGATAAAGACCAGGTTCCTGGATTTTCATCCCTCCCAAATAAAAGATCAGGTGTACCTGCATTGCAAGGCCAGTGCTATAGATATTTCCAAGGAGGCCATTAGTCTGCTGTTCATTAAGGATTTGCTTTGTGATCAGGGCCAAGGCTTCTTGTATAGTTCCTACAAGTTTGCTCTGCTGAGATGAGATCCTTCCTTCATACACACAGAACAGTGCCAAACTTGCTACGGCACCAGTATCTGTGAATTTACATCAAACAAGGGATTGAGCTGTGAGAGGAAAGTCAGGAGTGTTTGCCAATCTAGGAAGAGTGTCTTTGGTATAAGTGCTGGACAATAGCAGATGTCAGAGAGAAGCAGGCCAAATTGGAAAAAGCTGTTTATTACAAGTTGTCATTGTGGATGGTGCAATGGACAATGGATTCCTAGTTTATCAATCACTTGCTCATCATGGGGGTCCCCAGTGCCCCACTCACCTTCTCTCAGTCCAATCTATTGCCCAGTTTCATTACAGGGTATCATAAAGAAGGCTATCTTGAAGTCCTTCAAAGCTCAGAATAAAAAGATAATTTAAAATCACATTCAAAAATCACATATGTGTCTCTTACCTACAGAGAAATGACCAAGGAATTGGAAACTATTAGTCAGGGCTGCTTTGGCCAGAGCGGTGGCAGCTCTTTCAAGTTCTGGACTTTTTTCTATACACAGAGCCAAAGTATCTAGAGCCAATTGGTAGTAGGTGGTCTTGGGAGTCCCAGTAGTATCTGAAAAGTAAGCATGTTTATCAATTACTTCCTGTAATTGATCTATCCTTAGCCCATTACTGTTTGGAGGTTGAGTTCAAATGGAAAACTATTTCTAAAGAGTACTATTGGAGAAGGAGAGATCTGAAATCACAAACCAGCTGTATTTCCATGGGATCCCCATGGAATTTATAACCATAATGGTGCAGGATTCTAAATCACGAAAAATAATCTTTTATCAACTAGCATTTTCCAGATCTGTAGAAATTAATTCCAGAATTCCCCAGCTGTCATTAACATTGAAGTCTGCACATCTGGTAGATTTCCACATAGCTACTGCATGGAGAATGATTGGGTTTGTAGCTGCAGATTTTCCCCTCTAACTTGGAAAGCAAGTTAGCTTCTAATGCAGGGAAATAATGAGAAGGGGCATGAGATATAGGGCAGGGGTGTCAAACTCAATTTCATTGAGGGCCACATCAGCATTGCTGTTGTCCTTGGGAGGCTGAGTGGGTGTGGCCAGGGTGGGTGTGGCCTACTGGGTGGGCGTGGATGAAGTGGGTGTGGCATACTGGGTGGGCATGGCATCGTTCGCGTCAAGGGTGCCTGTGGGGGCCTGGGCAGGAGTGGGACAGATCTGAGGGTCTCTGGCAGAAGGGGGTGGGACCGGGGTAAGCGTCAAGGCATGGTCCATTTCTTCATTCCTCACAAAGGGTGACACCTCCCCAGCATGCACCCAGGAGGCGGGCCCAACACGGCAAGGGCTGGTTCCTTGCTGTTTCTGGACAGCCTTGTGGAGCTAAGACTGAATGTGTTTCAGCATAGATGGCCACCACAAAATTGTACATTGGCTCTCGGCTGGCCTGGGCCAGGGCCAAGGCAGTGGGGGCCATTCCCTCACTGTTTCCAGGATGGCTTTGTGGGCCACATGAAACCACTTCGCGGGCCGCATCCGGCCCCCGGGCCTTGTGTTTGACATGTCTGCTATAGGGCGAATATCTCCAAAGGGCTATAAACCTCTCCTAGGCATAATTTATAATACTACCTATTCCACAATATAGATAGTCTTCAACTTAAAACCATTTGTTTGGCAACTGTTCAAAGTTACAGTGCTATTGAATAAAGGGACGACTGGTCCTCCGATTTATGACTGTCATAGCATCTATACATATATCTATACAGTGATCAAAATTAATGGCCTTAGTCACCAGTATGCATTTACAACCGTGGCAGTGTCCTGGGGTCATGTGATTGCTATTTGCAACCTTCCCAGCCAGCTTTTTACAAGCAAAGTCAATGGGGGAAATCAGATTTGCGTAATGTCGACATGATTCACTTAAGAACTGCAGTGGTTTCCTTAACAGCCGTGGCAAAAAAAGATTACAAAATCAGGCATGCCTCACTTAGTCACCATCTTGCTTAACAATGGAAATTCTGATTCCAATTGTGGTCATAAGTCAAGGACTACTTTTACTGACAGTTGGAAATTCAGGATGCAGAGATAAATGTCAGATTGCTAAACTAGATTTTGTACTGTATGAATTCTACTCTCTTTAGCACAGAGCATGGTTTCAGCCTGAACCAAGACAAATCTTCCCCACAAGTAGATTAGTGCAATCTGGCAAAGGTTTTGCTGTTTTCAGTAGCTTTTATGTACAGTGTCGACTGGCAGGGACATATGATGTGCTACATGGGGAAGTTTAGCCATGGTGTCGGGTCTTTTGGTTTTGATGTTTTTATTGTAGTTGATACTGTTTTATTTTTGAGTGGTGAGCTACTCAGAATTTGGTTCATGATGAGTAGCTAGATGAATGTTATAAATAAATAAATAGCAATAGCCATAGCACTTAGACTTATATACCACTTCACAGTGCTTCACAGCCCTCTCTAAGCAGTTTACAGAGTCAGGATGTTGCCCCCAACAATCTGGGTCCTCATTTTATTGACTTCAGAAGGATAGAAGGCTGAGTCAACCTGGAGCCAGTGAGAATTGAACTGCTGGCAGTCAGCAGTCAGCAGAATTAGCCTGTACTACTGCATTCTAACCACTACCACGGCTCTTAAATACATGTTACAAAGCCATCCTCAATCATCATCACTACTCTGGATCAATTTTGTAGCTGTTATAAAAGTGCATTTTCTTCCTTAAAAAAAAATAGGAAAATATGAATGCAAAATGGGGATCAGATTTAACATCCGGATCTGTATTCAAACAGCAGATTGATTCAGCTGTCATTTGCATTGTGAAATAGGGAGAAAAATAATCTAAGTTATCTGGAGAAAAGTTGTACAAACATTTTAAGTTGTACCAATCATTAAAATGTTAGAAAGAAAATGTTATTCGCAACTGGAACAAAGAACAGACACTGCCTACATGGCTAAGAGAGCAATTCTCATAGGCTGAGAATTGGGCATTTAAATTCAACTGAGTACCATCCTTGCAAGCCAATGGTGGGGAAAGAGCACAGAGAGTCAAGGATCCATGCATTAATTATCCTTTTTGTATGTTGTTATCTGAGTGAAAGGCAGGAATCTAATGCTCATTTGTCTCCTTACTGATATACTTAATCTCTTCCTTTGTTTTCTCTTCAAGGACTTGGACCAGGTTGACATGTTTTTCTGGCGTGTTGACATCAGCAGGATTCTGACAGGCAGATCGAAGAGCTAGGACATAAAGGGCCACTTTGCCAGAGGTCATCTCTGCAAGAAGGGACGAGAGAGGACAATGAGTAAGCAATGCCTTGAAAGCAGTAGAGTCTAGAAACTGCAGACCACAACATCTGGGAGAGCTGCTTTAAAACTGGGATGTAACCGGAAACCCCCTCTGATTCTTTTTCCTTGGTTGCAGAACCATCTGCTTGATATTTTAAAGGCAAACCAGTGATAATATAAGGTTTCATGGTCTGGAGTTCCTAGTATCAGAGGCACTGTACCCTAATCTGTAAAAGTCTAGACACAGATATGGCTGAATTAATAGAGACTCACAGTTGGTAATGTAATTTCAACTCCAGGGGGAAAAAAAATGCTTCAAGCCTTTTAATTAAAACTGTCTTGCTCTTGCCATGAAGTTCTTAATTTCTGTTTTATCATCAGTTGAAACCTACTGTTTGTTGGCTGGCTTTATAAGCTGCAATTTAACACCCACTTACATGAGAGCAGGTTTCTTTAGACTTAATGAAATTTCTGAGAGGACTATAAATAAATCAATTGTATTTATGCCACTCAACAGACTGGAAATTTATTTTAAAAATGAGAGATACAAATTCTGAGGATAGTATTCAGTTAACGTTGATCCACAATATGGTTCCACATGAGTGGAGAATGATGATCTAGAGTAGGTTTAGGGGACAAAAGTAAGTTACATACATACATACTATTATAATGTATACGCAAATATCTACTTTAATGGTTATGTCACCATGGAGGAATCACCAGCTAAAAGGGAGGTGAGAGTAAGAAGGGGCACCAGCACGGAGTCACACCCTGGGAAGAAACTTCATAAATCAGACTACTGGAGCCTTACCTACTGGTTCCCAAGGGAATGGAGCCAGCCTGGCAAGATTCTTTTAATACGGGTGATCAACAATAAAAACAAAACTGCTTTGGCCTATTCATAAAATTGTTCTTAGTTTCTTGTACCAAACAGGGAAACATTTAGCAGATGAACGTATGGTGATGATGAAAATTTGTTATTTAGTGTTCTACCTACTATACTACTAAGAAAAAAACTTTGTGGCAATTCTAGAAATAGAAGTGGGCTTCCTTAGTTTTAATTAAGTTTGGGACGTACATTGTAGTCAAAACTAGGATGTACTAGTAAAGACAAAATAAATCATAAAGCTTTTTCACTATCTGTTAGGTTTAGCAAGTTACTCATAATTATCAAAAGGGACACCGGAAAAAAATATTTCCACGTTTCCCTCTTTACAAAATGGAACAAATTAAAGATCTAAACTGGTTTAGAAGTAGTTCTAGAGACCAATAAATTCGTTTATGTTAAAGCTTCTCATTTCAAGCATCATACCTGTTCCAGCGGTTTCTTTTATCTGCTTCACCAACTGTGTTATCACATTAAGATTGTGGTCTTCAGCCAGTTTCAAAGCAATCAGGACACTGGGATCAGGTTTAATCTGCAGGCTGGCCCAATTTTCCAGTTGAGTCTGGAGGCCTTTGACCAACCATTGCTGATCACTCGGGACATCTAGAACAAAGACAGCTAGAAGCTTATCCAGAATAACATCTTTCCTAGACAATTTTAATGTAGATTGTCAACAGAACTGGAGTTCAGCCTCAGAAATTGCCTCTATTACATTTTTCTTCTGCATTGGTAGCATTTGGGGCTGTTGCTCCTTTTTTGCCCACCATTTTTTTTTGTCCATTAGTGAATTCTGTAATTATAATAAGGTTAACTTCAAATACTTTGTATATACCACGCAAGATCCATACAAATGAGTTGTTAATATTCATGTAGCAGACATGTTATTTATAAAGATATCCAGACCTATGTGAATTTATCTGTTTGGGGCAAAAACGTTGTACATTAAAATTTTCACTGAGTGAGCCAAAAAAAGCTGTGTTTAGTTATCAGTATACATTTAAGTTTTTTTCCCTTTTGTATCTCTCTGTTCTTTTTTGGTGGGGGGAGAGAATTGAGGCTATTTGCAATTATCTGAGCCTCGCCTTCAGCTATGAATGTGGATATTTTACTAAACTCCAACCAAGGGATTGGATGCTAGCCAAAATGGCCATCCCACATACACTCATGCAAGGGTTAACTCAGTGGAACTTACCCTTCTCTTGCTCTAAGCAAGCTGAACTGACTTACTGAAATCAACGGAAGAAGAGGCATACAACTTTAAGTGCCATTCTTTTCAGTAGGAATACAGATCAACTAAGTTAACTACATTAATCCAGTTCAAGACACGTGAAGCATTTTTTCTCAATGAGACAGAGTTGGCATTAGGTTTTGAGTTTTTGTATGTCGTCTTCTGATGGGCTACTTTCCTATTCTCTGTGTCTTCTGCTGACTCACTGTGATCAGTGAAAACAGGCAGGTAGAAAATGAAGTTATAATAATAGATCAACAGGTGGAGGGGGGTGCTGGTATAATGCTGGTCATTATCTCTAAACAGCTGCTTCTCCCAAGTTCCTTCGGTCACTTCTTATATTCTTTGATAATTTTGTGGAAGCCACAGAACTGTCTTTCCCATTGGCACTCATCGGTGTGCATATCATATGAACACAGACATTTGAAAGGCTACTAGGTTAGGGAAGGTTGCACTATGATTTTATTACATTCCAGATCATATATAGCATACAAGGGGATAAATCAGTTTCTGCATTGTTATACTCCTTTATTTTTCTATATACAGTAAGTGATTATTTAGCTCTATGCATCTGTACTGAAAACTGTTTGTGTATTTAGAAAGCTAATGTTCATGCTGGCCTGGAATTTTAGCTCTGCAGTTCAATCAGGTGGGGATCACATGAGAGAAAGCTTCCTCACCAAGTCTAGACAGAGTGCAGAGAAGACCAACAAAGATGATTAGAGGACTGGAGGCTAAAACATATGAGGAACGGTTGCTGGAATTGGGTATGTCTAGTTTAACGAAGAGAAAGACGAGGGGGGATATGATAGCAGTGTTCCAATATCTCAGGGGCTGCCACAAAGAAGAGAGAGTCAAGCTATTCTCCAGAGCACCTGAAGGCAGGACAAGAAGCAACAGATGGAAACTGATCAAGGAGAGAAGCAACCTAGAATTAAGTAGAAACTTCCTGACAGTTGGAACAATTAACCAGTGGAACAACCTGCCTCCAGAAGTGGTGAATGCTCCAACACTGGAAGTTTTTAAGAAGAGACTGGACAGCCATTTGTCCGAAGGGTTTCCTGCCTGAGCAGGGGGTTGGACTAGATGACCTCCAAGGTCCCTTCCAACTTATTATTATTGTTATTGTTGTTGTTGTTGTCGTCTTCTTGCTTTTATTAAATATGAGAAGATGTAGGCAGGGCACAGCTTTTCGGCTTCATCATTAATGATGTATAGAGAATAGAAACTGGCAGTCATGGACATGGCTCAAGTTTCCATTTTGGTTACCTTTCTGTACGAAACTGTTTTCATGAAGGAAAATTGATCCAGCCTAAACACCCTCTATGCATCAATATTTCATTCAGTGCACAAACATTAGAAATGTTTACATAGGGTTGTGCAAAGAGACGTTTTGCATAGATTTTAATGCAAATGAAGCACTTCCTTTCGAATTGTTAAAACAATCACGTCCTTTGCAAAGCTCAGATGACTGCTGCAAAATTTGGTTCTGGTTGTCTTATGTGCAGACACTTTTGGTGAGGCGGTTGGTGAAGTAATATGACTGCAAGCACATAGAGACATCCAGCAATGGCCTTTCAAACAGTTGCATGAACCTTGGATAGGACATAGTTGCAAAGATGGGCTTTCCACTGTGTAAGAGACCTATTGCCAGTTAAATATAGAGCAAATCCTGTCCCTATTTGATTACCATGATCACCCCATTTGAAGATCTCCAAGTATGTTGAACTATAACTCCCATTATCCTTCAATCAACTTAGAGAGAAGCATCAGGTTAAGAAGGGTTAATGCAAGAGGAAGATGATTTGAAATACTTACAGCAAGTTTCTGAAGAACTGGAAGCTGCATTGGAGACTATGCAGAACACATATATAATAACGGTGAAGAGGAACATTTTTGGCTCAAATATGGGTATATACTTTCGTAGACCAAATCTTCCTTGATGTGGCAGAATATTGGAAGTCAAGGGTAAAAACCTGCTTGTCTTCCTTTATATAAACTGCTAGGACAGCCCTGGATCCTCCCTACCAACCTTTCACCTTCGAATAGTCACTTCATTTCTAGTTCTGTTGACTTTCCTTTCCTTATCTCATTTTCCTCAATGGGACAGGTCTGAACAGGTCTGGCAAGGTGATGCGAAGCCACAAATCCTTCCAGGGAAATTAGTGGGTTGCATGTTAGCAAGAAGAAGGCTACTTATATAACTTGGCAAGATGCTGCATACCATTTGTGAGAGAACAGCCACTTGCTAAGCAAGTGTTTGTTGAGTCATATATGTTAACGGTAAGGATGGCATCAATTTCATGGAAGAGAAGTTGGGTTGAGAAAAGAGGAAATTAAACTGGACTGGACCTGCCCAGGAAAAATAGCACTGTATCTTCTAGCAAGGTCCATGTTTTAAAAGACTGAAGAAAGGACACTGCTATGCTATGCTGGAGAAATAGGAGAGATGGTAACAGAGCTTCTCTTAGCCCTTTGGCCACCATTCATATGTCATTGCATATGCCAAAACTGTGCCTCTTAAAAACATACTATTGCCATAAATAATCCTAGACATGCAGAAATAAGGCTGTTCAGTTTATAAAAATGCTAGTGTAGAACCATGTGGAAAAACACAATATGACAACAATTATAGCAATGTCATGCAAATATTAGAAGCTCTTCAGAAATGAGTGATTAAAGCACGCACAGATTGCAGAAATGCATCCTACTTTTCTTGTGATTGCCCCTCTGGAGGATCAAAGGTGTGGGAAGTCAGCCCCCCAGAGAAGGAAATATTAAAAGGGCAGGAAAATATATTTCCTCAAAGGATCTTAAAGAGGCAGGAAAGCGTGCCCAGTTTTCTTAATAGCCCCAGGTCTCCCTTCCCCAAGCAGAAACCAGCTCTATAGAGATGCAGATGTAAATCCAGAGAGCTAGGAGATTAAGAAAACAAAGACCTAAAATCTACATACCCCATCCAAACTCTAAGAGTCATCAGCCCCAGCCCCATGGGAGCAGGATATGACCTTTGGGACATAATAGGATTAACCTATCACCATCAGAATACCAGAAAAGCACACTCAGACTCAGGTCAAAGTTCATGCCACAGGAACAGGAAGCAACTCCAAACAAAAGGCTCCAGAGGGTATAAAAACCAGCTCCCCACATGTGCTCAACCCTTTTTTTCTCTCTTCTCTGCCAGAACCATCTTTCTGTCTGGCTCTCCTTTTCAATAAACTGCAACCTTCTTTCTAAAGCAGTTGCTATGTTGTTTATCCCCGGCTTGGATTGAACCAGAATGAAGACTTTTCTTTCAATAAAGGCTTTTCTTCAAATGTCAAAGCTTAGATGGAGCTTTTGTAGCAATTCTTAAATGAGGGAAAGGCACTCTGCATATATTTACAGTCACTGTAATTCTGCTGATATTGTACAGATTCTAATACTGAGCACATTTTACTTTATTTTTCAAATCCTACCTTAGCCATAAAAAGCCAGCTGGGTGACTTTTGGGTTGTTATTGTGGGGAAAATAGAAGGAGGAAGGTATGTTGGTTATGTTCACTGCACCACCATGACAGGATACAAATAAATAAATAAAAATGTTATCCAACAAGTGCAAGGTATAAAAAAGCTACATTCATTTGATGCTAAGAAGGAGCTGTGAACCTCCAGTATCAACTTTATTGCAGTCATAAATGATGTATAGTCTTGAGCAAACCATTATCATTCCTTTTACTCATGAAATCTCAGACTTTTATGGATTGTTCTGCATTAGAAGATGCTTAATGCAATATTTTATGGCTAAAGTTTCTTGAGTGTTAAGACAAATGGAATTAATATTAATTAATTAATAATAATTTTATTAATAGTTGACATATCTATTGTGCTTGTGAGTAAGCATTGTATCAATAACACCCCATCTCTTCAAAAAATGAGGAAAATGTAATAATATACAAGAAGTAGGAAAATAGTTGATATTCCCTAAACTGGGATCCAAGGAAGGACAGGTGCAGTGCCATGTACGTTAGAAACTAGAATTACTATTTTGCATTTTTTCTCTTGTTTCTGCTTCTGTTGGTAAATTGATTTGCTTGTTGTGGAATCTCGACATGCATGCAAATAGAAAGAAATTTCTAAAATTCACTTAATCATTCTGGAGTACTGAGTGTAGATTAATGAAAAAAAGAAATGAATTTCAAGAACTGTAGAACCAGGCTGCAGAATAGCAAAATTGACCTGTGCTGAATTGGGAAGAGATAATAAAAAGCTGCCTTGGTAAGAAATGTTATGCCAATAAGGGCTCTTTAAGAATCCGATACAAAATAAAGATCAATTGGAGTACATCTGTTATTACTAAATTCTGTTTACCGATACAGAGTATTAATAAACTCTTTATCATGGAAAGAGATTATGTTTTTCCTTCCAAGAAAACTGATGCTGAGTAACCACTAATATTCCCAAATTTTCTCACCCCTTAAAAGTGGAACACATGTAGCTAACAGTAGGAAAGCAAAGATTTTGAGGTTGATTACATCCATCAAGAAGCTAGTGAAGCATAAGTTATCATAGCAGATTTCTGGTACTGAGGAAAACTTATTGTGTTTTCTAAGGGCACTTCTTCAAATAAAGGAAATAAGGACCTAAGGAAATAGGAAGGTAAATGGCAATGTCTAGTTTTTCCTACTTACCACAACTAAGGCAGTGCTGTCCTTGGTTGAGAAACAAGAGTAGGAATCCCACCAGAGCCCTCATCATCATGCAGGTCTATCATGCAATGGGATGAGCACAGGGAAGTACGTCTGCTGTGATTTAAAAGCAGAGGCAGAGGGCTCCTCCCTTGTCCTGTTGCTTTCCCAACAAAGCAAGAGTTATTGAGTAATGCCTCTTAATGTGGACATGTCCTTCAAGACATGCAGGCTGACAAAACTGTGATTATAAGGTCTGACTTCAGTAAGCCTGGAAGTGGCATACTGAGTACCACTGCAAGATGATTCCCAGAGAATTTTTTTTCCAAAGATAATTTTTATTAAATTTTTGACATTTTACAAAAACAAAAACAAAACAATCTTCCCCCCAACCTCCCCAACCCTCCCATTCCCTCCCCCGACCTTCCCAGAGCTGGATATAGGCTTAATTAGAATTTCATCAAAGAATCTTAAAAAAAGATATAAACCATAAATAAATCTAACATTAGTTAAAAATCTAAATACATTAATTAGAAAAATTATAAAATGATTAACAATAGTATATATATAAAAAAACATGAATACAAAAGATAAATGTTTAAAAAAGAAAAGAATGAAAAAAGGGAAAAAAGAAGAACAAAAAAAAAGAAAGAAAGAAAAACCAAAATATTCCATTTTGAATATAAATTGTTAAAAAGCTAGATAATATTTTTTTATATCTAACTTATATTGTATAAAATCTATCCATTTTTTCCATACCACAACATACTTCTCTTGCGATTGATCCTTCAAAAATGCCGAAATCTTTGCCATTTCCTCCAAATAAGAAACTTTAAGAAACCACTCTTGCAAAGTAGGCAAAGATTCCTTCTTCCAACATTGCCCTACTAACAACCTTGCGGCTGTAATTAAATTTAACATCAGTGTAGTCTCCTTAGTATCACAATCAATAACGATACCTAACAAAAACAATTGTGGGGTAAATTTTACCCTCCTTCTAAAAATTCTTTGAATATTCCACCATATCTTAATCCAAAAGGCTTTTATATTTTTACACGACCACTAAATATGATAATAAGTAGCATCCAAACATCCGCATCTCCAACATTTAGGCTGTAAGTCAGGATACATGCGAGACATTTTTTGTGGATCAAGGTGCCATCTGTAAAACATTTTATAAAAATTCTCCCTTAAATTCTGGGCTTGTGTAAATTTAACATTTCTCACCCAAATAGTTTCCCAAGTATCTAATAAAACTGGTTCACCAAAATTTTGTGCCCATTTAATCATACATTCTTTAACTAATTCTGCTTCTGAATCCAATTCTATTAACACCCCATAAATTCTCTTAATAGATTCCCAGAGAATATTAAAAGTCCTGTTTAATAATAAAGCATGGATCAACAAAAAGCACTGGATGAACCAAATGTTTATCTTGCCCAGTTTCCAATTCTGTGGTCAAAGATCAGGGCAGAAAGAAGAGAAAGATGGGGATGGTGCATCAGCAGGCAGAGAACGATGCCCTTAACCTCACCTCCTTTGGCATGCATAAAATGGATTAAAATATTGTATGAGTTACCTACATCTAAAGTCAAGGCATGGTTTTCACTATTAAGAAGAAATAGAAAAGGATGCCACTTTCACTTTTTTAAATATCTGTATAGAGATGACATTATTTTGTTTATTTCTAAACCTCATGTTGCTATTTCAGTGTTGATGCAAATGATAGGTGCTTTAGTAGAGTGGGAGGGTAATCTATTGGCTGGTCCAAATTGGAATGAATGCTAATTGGTGAGAATTTGGTTACCTTTGCATTTAAGGAATATAAACCCATTGAACATTTAGCTAAGTATACCTCAAAAGATATAATATAAATAAAATCTATAGAAAGGTTTCTTCAAATATGAATAATGGAAGTCATTACACTTAATCCTTTGGGGAAAGGAATGGTTGCAGCCAGATGTCTGTGCCCATCCAGCCATGCCTGGCCGCTGTAAGTCATGATAAACCCCTGCTATCATGTGCCCCCTAGTCCTTTTCTCTAGACTAGCCAACCCAAATCCTGCAATCATACTTCTTATGTTTTAGTCTCCAGGCCTTTAATCATCTTATTGCTCTTCTCTGCACTTTATTGCAAGCCTCAACATCTTTTTTCTAATGTGGTGGCCAAAACTGGATGTGTGGCCTTACTAAGGCTTTATAAAGCAATACTAATACTTCACATGATTTTGATTCCATGCCTCTGTTTATACTTTTTTGACTGCCGCACACTGCTGGCTCATATTTAAGTGATCGTCCACTAGGACTCCAAGGTCC